ATGGTGGTATCAAGACTATAAGTGATATACCCAACTGATCATCAAATAATTGTTACCGAAACAAATCTTAATTTTCAAAATCGTCACTAGTGGGATTTAAACCCTAGGCCTGCTATTTGGAGGGGTGACAACTTGCCAACTACATTATATCACCACACCCTTTGTATATATATTTAATAGTCTAATTTAGATTAAAATTTATGTTGTGATATATATTGATTACTTTAATTTTTAAATTAGATTTTATATGTGTATATATTTAATAGTCTAATTTTAGTTTGTTGTGATTGGCAGATATACAGTTATTTTAATTTTAGTTTAGTATTTTATGTAGGATTGACAAAATAACTTTTTTTTAATTTTTGCCTAAAAATGGATTTCTGATTTAGAAGTTCATTGTAGATAAAGTAAATTACTTTATCAGTAATTATATCGATTAAAAATTTAAATTGATAAAAATATAGATTAAGATTAATATAAAAATTAGAATAAAATTTTTATATGTTCTAAACTAGGAATTGTAATAAAATAAATTCTGGGTTTGTTAGTTCGATACCAAAATTAAATATGATGAGATTTTGTTTACATAATTTGATAATCTATAAAAAATTTTTGGTTTTTTTTTTTTTTCTTTGTTGTTTTTCGTTTCTCTCCTTTTCTACGTCTTGTTTTTTTTTTTTTTTTTAAAGTTAGTATTGTTTTTTTTTTTTACTTTTATAATATCTAGATGATTAATATACTAGTTAAAGTTAAGAACTTTTGTATTCTCTTGTCTAAGTAACTGGGGCTTAGTCTATTAAATACACAGATAGTAACTTTGTAAGCGACCAGCTCGTTACTATTCACCTTAAATGTGCACGCTCAGTTTCTAAGTTCTTAACGATGATAAAGTTTAATTTTTTATTGTTTTTTTTTTGTTTGCAAACAAATTTAATAGCTATTATATTTTTTTTTTATTTTAGAAATGGAAACTACTATAGAACAAAACATTGATACGGTTATCTTTTCGCTTCTTGAAATAAAGAAAAAAATAAAAGTAGTACCAAATCAATCTGCTACCACTTGTCACGATTGTAAAAAACTAAAAAAAAATTGTAGAAGTACTTTTAAAAAATATAACAAAGGTTTATCACTTGTCGAAAATATTGTTAAGCTTCAAAAAGAAGTTGAAGAAACAAATAGTGAATATTTTAAATTAAACAAGAAATATATTGCTCTAAAAGAAAAATATGAGCCAGCCAACGATTAATTTTTTAAAAAATTGTTAGTTTTTTTGTTTTTTTTTGTTTTAGTTTTTTTTTTTTTTTTTATAAAATAGAATTTTTTTTATAAAATTTTATTGTTTTTTTTTTATTTTTGATTGTTTTTATAAGTTATAATTTTTTATTTATAAAATAAAAATAATAAATTTTAAACTGATTAGATTACAGTTAAACTTTTCACCTTGCTAGAGGCTTTTTTTTTTGGCGTGCTGCTAGCCTCACAATTGCTTATCATGGGTTGTTTGTTAATATTATTTAATATGAATTTTTGATTGGATCTCTCACCTCCTAATCGCCAATACGAATTGCATTTAATTTTGTAAATTAATAAAAAATTTATTTTCATCACAAATAACTTTATTATATTTTTTATTTAACTTTAAAATAAACTTAAATTAAATTTTTGATTTGTTTTTTATGTTAATTTGGTGTTCCCGAATCGTTGATTCGGCTACGGTCCCAACCTTACACCAAATCATAGTAAGAAATGCATCAAAAAAAATTGATGTGACTGACTATCTATACTTCTCTCTCTCGCTCTCTCTCTCTTCAGTGTGGGCATGTATAAAAGAATTTCGAACGCCTTGATGCTTATGATAAGCAATCACTAACGCAATTGCTTCTAAACGCAATCTCATTTTCGAAATTCTTTTTACATATTTATAAAAAAAATTAATAATACTAATCGGTTTTAACAACTAATTAGATATTATAATTAATGACAATTTTTCAGGTTCTAGCCTGAAAAATTGCGATGACCCTCTTTATTTTATCCCTGAACGATGCTCTGTGCTTTTTCGTTTTTCAGAGAAAAACCAAGTTTTATTTTTTCATCGGTTGTTTCTTCGATATAACAAACGCCTTGATTTGATGATAAACAATCACAAGCAAGTTGTAATTGTTTCTAATCAAGATCTCATTTTTGTCATATCTTAGAAACAAAATTAAGTTCAATTTAGTTTTTTTTTTTTTTTTATTATTCCATAATATCAGAGTAGAAACTTTATTACATTTTTAGAAAACAAAAGTTCTAAGA